GGTCTACAAGAAAAAGCACCTAGCACTGAGGTCCCATGAGTTTATAGAAGCCTCTAGTAGGATGGGGCTTTCATGCCATCCTAATTTTCTCTCCTTAATACAAAAATTACTTCACAAAATGAAAAGCTAATGATTGGTTAGGAAAGACTTCTGAATGATAAACCTTAGACACTCAGAGAGTCCATTTCTACTTAGGATCAACTTCATGTTGCAGAGTAGAAATTCCTCATAGGGTTTTCCTGGCTGTGAAAATCACCAGGTATTTCTCCTGTAGAGGCACTGGGTGGATTTGAATCACCAACCTTTTGGTTAGCAGTTGAACACTGAACTATAGCACCACTGAAGCATAAGGCCTGAGTGGTATTTATTTAAAGAAGTTCTTACATATAAAAAATCTTTATGAAGAAACTTATCTACATAAAGAAAACTTAATACTGAAAAAATAGTACTGAAGATTCTAATAAAGAGAAAGGTATGGTGTGTTGTTTTGAGGGGCCATTGAGTCCACTCTAGCCCACAGCAAATGATGAACAACAGATCTGAACCTTGCTCTAAACTGCCTTCCTGTCTCCCATGCTCATTGCCTGTGTCAGTCTGTCTGTCTCCTTGAAGGTTGTCCTCTTTTACTGGCCCTCTGCCTTTCACAGCTTGATGTCTTTTCCCAAGGACTGGCCTCTCCTGATAATATATGATAATATTTATGTCTCACCATCTTTGCCTCTAACGAGCTCCCTGCTTGTACTTTCTCCAAGACACACTTGCTTGTTCTTTTGGCAGTCCATAGTTGTTGCTGTTATGTATCACCGAGTCAAAACTAACTCATAGCTGACCCTCCAGCCAGTTTTTAGAGTCAGTAAATCACATGGGAGATTTATGCTATGGAGCAGCTGGGAGATTCAAACTGGTGCCTTTAGATTGGCAGCACAACCCCTTACCACTAAGCCATAAGAGCTTTAGCAGTCCTTCAGTACTCTTTGTCAGCAATATAATTCAAAGGCATCAATTCTTCTTTGAGCTTCCAGATTCATTGCCCAGTGATCAGGCATACCTTAGTCTTTAAAAAGACAACCTTGCACTTCAGCACTTTGTCATCGATAACTTCAACCTTTTCTCCGTCTATCGCAATGCTGTCTAATGGTCCAATGGTGAGGGTTTTTATTTTGCTGATGCTGAGATGTAAACTATATTGAAGGCTGTAGCCTTTGATCATCTTCAGTTGGTACTTCCAGCCTTCTTCCCTTAACTGCAAGCAAAGTTGTGTCATCTGCATAAATTAGGTAGTTGATACAATCTCGGTGCATCTTTCTTGTTCTACAGAAAAAGTGTAAACGTGTAATTTAATCTGATTTAGAATGACTGAATATCAAAGAAATCCATTCTTCCTACATTAAACTACATTTAATGATGTAATAAAAATACTAATAGTATTATTTCTTTTTATAACTAGAATCCATGTATAAATAGATTCTAAATTTGTATGTCAAATATAAGCAATAAAAATGAAAATGCTGTGGGTTAAGTGTTAGACTAGGAGCTCTGTAGGAGAAAGCTGAGTTTCTTCCTATAAAAATTTATGGCCTTGAAAGCCACATAAGGAAGTTCTATTCTGCCTTATTGGGTCACTGTTAGAACATTACATTCACAGAGAAGCACCAGAAGCACAAGCTGGATTTAGAAGGGGCTATGGCATCAGCAATATTATTGATAATATCAGACAGATCTTGGCTGAAAACGGAGACTTTCAGAAGAATGTCTACTTGTATTTTATTGACTATGCAAAGGCATTTTGACTGTGCTGACTGTATCAAACAATTACCTTGAGAAGAACAGGAGTTTCAGAACATGTAATTGTGCTTATGTGAAATCTATACCTAGATCAAAAAGCTACTGTTTGAACAGAGCAAGGGAACACTAAATGATTAGAATCAGGAAAGGTGTGCATCAGGGCTGTATCTGCTTCTCCATACCTATTCAATCTGTGTGCTGAGAAAATCAACTGGGAATGTGGACTTTATGAAGAGTATAGCAACAAAAGGCTCATCAACAACCTGCATTATGCAGGCGACACAATCTTGCTTGCTGAAAGAGAGAAGGACCTGAAGTACTTGCTACAGAAGATAAAGGACAGAAGCCTTCAATATTGATTGTTGTTGTTATGTGCTGTCAAGTCGCTTGTGACTCATAGCGACCCTATGTACAACAGCCCTAAACTCTGCTCTGTCCTGTGTACCAATCACGCTGTCTCTGACACTCTCATCCCGATTACCCCAGTCACTGAATCAATCCACCTCATAGAGGGCCTTCGCCTCCTGCACTGTCCCTCCACCCTCCCAAGCATGTCGTCCCTCCTGGCAACATGTCGAAAGTATGTCAGATGAAGCCCCAGAATCCTTGCCTCCAAGGAGTAGCTTGGTTTAATCCTCTCCAAGATGAATCTGTTTGTTTTCCTGGCAGTCCGTGGTACATTCAGTACTCTTCTCCAGCACCACAGCTCAAAAGCATCCACTCTCCTTCTGTCCTCCCTAGTCATTGTCCAGCTCTCTGATGCATAACAAGCGATTGCAAAGACCATGGCCTGTATCAGGCACAACTTAGTCTCCAGAGAGACACTGTTGCTCCTGAGTACTTTAGAGAGGTCCTTAACAGCAGACTTTCCCATCGCGATACGCTTTTTGATTTCCTGACTGCTGGTGCCAAGAGTGTCGACTGTGGAGCCGAGCAAACTGAAGCTGTGAACAATCTCCATGTCTTCGCCATCCATCCTGACGCTGCCAGTTGGTCCAGTGGTGAGAATCTTTGTCTTCTTGACATTGAGCCTCAGTCCATACTGAAGGCTGCAGTCCTTGACCCTCTGCAGCAAGTGCATGAGGTCCTCCTCAATGGCCCAGCAGGTGGGAAAAATGTTTGGAAGGAACTCAAATGAAAATGAGGCTTTTTCATAGGAAAAAAAAACATTTTAAAATCTATCTTGGAACAGATAATTTACTCAATTATAAATGTTATATAATAAAATGACATTTCAAAACCAATGGGGAAAGGTAGGTATTCAATAAAATGTCAACTGTGTAGCCATTTTTTAAAATGAAACACATAATCTATAGCTGTTTTTAACATATAACACATTATAGATAGATAAAAGATCTAACAGTTTTGTTTTTTAAGAAAACTCGCTAAGAAGCTAACAAGTGGTGTAGACCATTCTAAATGTGACACAAATAGTATGTGTCAACAAAAAGCTGTAAAAGCAAAAATATGAAAAGGTCTGTAAATTTGACAACATGAATATACAAATTTTTACAGACCAAATTCCCTAAGAACAAAGGCAAAAGACAACACCAAGTTACCATTTAAAGAAGGGAAATTGAGGCACCAGTCCATGAGTATCTCTGAAAGGGCCAGAGGGAGTGAGAATAGCATAGGCCCTCACTACCCCAGAGCAGAAAGCAGATAAGGAGCCCATAGCCCAGCGACATGGCACCTCTAGAACCATTGCAGCAGCAAGAGGTTCATTTATTCATTGCTGACTGACAGATTCACAGTTATGGTAACAATAATAGGAGAGGCAAATAATATCACCTAAAACAAATTCAGGTTTTAGCCAAGCAGTCCCAAGGCACAATTCCTCAATTAGTCCATGATCTGATTTCAGTTCGGTAGTCAAATCCAAATCATCCAGCAAAGTTTGCCTCTAAGCAAACAAGCACCCTGAAAACTATAAGTCAGCTTCTCCTTTAAGCATCCAGCAAGAACAGCAAACATCTTTAACTATATTCTTTATCTTGGGGCTCCTCTCCTTACACCTTGCCACAGTTTCTTCATAGTAATGCCACAGTCTGTCCAACATCATCACTAAAGTCTCACTAACAGGGTCTTTTCTAGTCTCCCTCAAGTCTTGCCTCCACAAGTCCTGCTTGCCTCATGTCTTGTTATTCAATGTCTTTCTGCTCAGTGTGGGAAGCACTCTTTCTCTTAGCCTAGTCCCACAGCTGTTGATGATTTGTAAGGCCATGTGTCTGCAGTTAAAGTAGCTGGAGACCAGAGGGGGCTAACTGTAAAGGCTTTAAAAAGCCAACTTTTAGGCTAAAACTACATTGCAAACTGGAAAATAAAATATTTGCAGCTTCTTTACAAAAAGCTAATATCTAAAGCACTCCTATAATAAAAAGACCAACATGTTAATAGAAAAGAGGCAAAGAAGTGGGATAGACCAGGGTAAAGAAAAATTAGTTACTGTTAAATATTTTAAAGCATTATTTATCTTACTCTTACTTAGATAAAACTGATCTATTTTTGAAAATCCCATCAGGTTGGCAGAGATAAGCATTTCTGATTATGCAGCACATTGGCGAGGATCTGAAAGCATGTACCAACTAAAAGTTGGTCAATAATTTTAGCATAATTTTGCAAGACATATTCTTGACCTAGAACTTCTGTTTCTAGGAATTGAAACTGTTAGGTGGGGGAAAAAGCTAGATGCAGAAAAATATGTACCATTTGTGCAGGGGAAAATATGTGTGTGCTTGTAAATGCACATAAGGTTCAAAGAGTTGCTTTGAGGAGGTCACTGGCTGGCTGGGGTCCTGGAGAAGGAGAAAGACTTCTGGCTCAGTGTGAATCATTTTATACTGTTTGAAGCTTGTACTTTCTGAATTACCTTTAAAAAAAGCAGTACTAATGGCACAGCTAAGGTTGAACAAATTGTATCCCATCAAATACAAACAGCCATTATATGGCTCATATGAAATAATTCTTACATCTTAAAATTATATATTATTCCATGAAGCATATTATATTACAGTATTTTATTTTTTTCATATTTCTATGAAGTTGTTAGAAATTGTTAACCATGAGGTTTTAATAGCAAATCATTTTTAAAAAGTTAAAAAAACTCTACAGTCATTGGTATTTAGTTATAAAGTATTAATGCAATGCTTAAAAAGAACTAAAACCCAGTAGTCTTAAAACTATGATTACATGACTGATAATGACCTTTTAACATATTAATAAGTTGCTCTAGAAAATGATTTCTGAGTAACTCTTGGATTAATGTGAGCCTTTAAGCCACTGACTGATTGCTCTTTTGTACTTCCTCGGTTTTTTCAGCCAGTCCTGATGCCATCTCAGATTTGCTATGACATCTGAGTAGTTTTGCCCGGTACTTTTTTTCCAGTTGATAAACTGCTCTTTATTGTACTTGTGGACAGAAGCAGAAACTTTAGGGTAGTTTATAATTGAGCGAAGCTTTTGGTCCAAAGAGTAAGTAAGATCTGGAAATTTTGTGGCAATATTTGTTAGTTCATCTGGATCCAAGGAAAGATCTGAAAAGAAAAAAATAAATTCCTGTCAAAATAATTATCTTCTTAAAGAGAAACAATTTTTAAAAAAAAATTGTTCGACAAATGATGTACTAAAATTAGTTTTTATTTTCACTTTCTGTTATTCAAGTAAATGAAGGACAATATAAATGGTAACTAGGTCAAATGTTAATATCTCTCTGACATATACCAGGTGAGTGGCATAGTCTGTTGAGAGTGTGCTGACAGCTGAAAGGCCCCCTTTGGGAGTTTAAATCCATCAGGTCCTCCAAGGAAGAAAGATTGCTAATCTCCTCCTGTGCACTTTACAGCTCCATAAATCCACTGTAGGGTCAGCTATGAGTGTCAGTTCCAACCAGACAGCAATGACTTTAAGTTAATTTTATATGCTATTAATTGTATATAATTTTATTTCACATAATTTTATATGCTATTATCTCCTTTTCTCCATCATCCTGTTATTCTTCCTTTTTTCTTATCCATTCTTAGATGGCATGTACAATCAAACCTTTACCAGTGCAGTAATTAATCCAATTATCATGTTTTTAAGGTCTTCCCTATTTTGGCATGCAGAAAAAACAATTTCAGTAAACTTATATTTTTTTATCTCAATATCCCCAAACTTTCTGGATATAAGAATTCTTGATATAGGTAAGTTCTTACAACCTGACTTAGTCCTAGTATTCTTTATTTAGCAGCATCTTACTTAGATGATTTGAAAGGTGTATTTATTAGTATTATCCTTTTGAATAAATAGCCATGAGGAGGAGGCTTCTCTTAATCACCATCAGCAAGATAGTAATAATACATATTTCACATGTATAAACACCCATTTACATACGATGTGGGAAGAGAGAAGGCAGTTAGAATGCTAATCTAGTGAGAAAAACAATCTTAAGAAATGAACAACTGATGTTGAGGAAAATCTCTCATGGGCCTGAGTGCCTTGTCCTGGAGGCCACTGAAGATCCACATTATTAGGTGACTTCAGATGGAAGCTTTTTAGAAAAGGAAACCATTAATTAAACTCTAAAGGATGAGGAAAAGGCTACTCCCCTTATTTTGATAGTCACACGTGCCTTTTGTAGAAAGAGATGAACAAGAGATGCCATTACTCTCCAGGATTAAAACTTACAGACCTCCGTTTGAGGCTAAGAATTCCTGCCTCAGAGAAGGACTTAGCTCCTGCTCTTAGAGCTAATGTAATCAGTTTGGCACCTAAAGAAATATTTTGAAAAAAATAATCTAGACATTTGTAACTAGGAAGAAAATGAAGAAGAAATGAATACTGGTAATGGCCTTAGCACAAAATGCAGTTATAAAAAAGCCTATGTCTGTGGTTCACAGCTTCAATTTGCTCGGCTCCATGGTCAACACTCTTGGCACCAGTAGCCAGGAAATAAAAAAAAAAGTATTGTGATGGGAAAGTATGCGGTTGGGGACCTCTCTAAAGTACTCAAGAGCAACGGTGTCTCTCTGGAGACTAAGGTGTGCCTGATACAGGCCATGGTTTTTGCAATC